TGTTATACCCTGAGATGCCTAAATGATCTGAAAGATCCATTCAAGGAAGGATATAAGAGATTTTTAGGTCCGGAAACCTACACTAACGGAACATATCGAATAGTAGATAGTAATGGAACAGGAGAGTTCCCCATCAGTGGACGCTTCCTAAAGGCGTGACTACCCGGAGAAAAGAAACTAATGAGAAAGATTCATTCAATTAGTAACAAGTTCAGAATCAAAGTAAAAAAATGTTTTGACTAAACAGTCAAACCCAACATAGTTGAAATACAAAGCAGACAAATCATTCCTAATCCAAGCCACAGCGGCAAAAAAAGCGGTCTCCTACTCGTTGCAAAGAGCATCCAGACCGCTGGTATTCAAGCCAAGCCTTATAACGCACGTTCTTGTGTGAATCCAGGTCCCTTTAAAGAAGCCTCTACCCGCAACTGATCTGTGAATTGGTCGTGTTCAGCTAGAGAATTGACGAAAAACCTCGGCTTTTTTAATCTCCTCAAGATTGGCCCTAGCAGCATTAATCGCATTTACGGGAGAACGGGGTTCAGCATCCTTTTCTTTTCAATATTCTCCCAGCCAAAAGCTGATGCAGGAAGCATATGCACCAGCCGAGCGGCGAATCAAGATATAAATAAGAACCATCGGAGAGGAAGGAAAGCGCTGTTGTAAACTTTTTATATTAAAAAAAAGTCGGGGTAGCAAACAAAGGAAACAGGTTCCGGCAAAATAAAAGGCAACAGGATCTGTCCCCCTTAAAAAGCCAAAGAATTTATCCTCTCATCTAAGTTGTGGTTTCCTCTAGTTTCGAAACCCAGTGCTTTAGTCATTTGCGAAATAAAGAACTCATTATAGGAGTCAGTCTTTCCATTAAGTCCTTCTGCCCAAGAGTTCTATTCCAGTGATCAAGCCAGCAATGGCAAGGTCCAAAGCAGATTCTAAGGCAAGATTTTAAAAAGAGAATTATATAACTTAAGATAATTTTTTTCCTTTTTATTTAGAATCAGGGGGGTACCTATAAATAACATAAGAGAACACTAGAAAGATAAAGATAATAAGGAGAGGGAGGCCCTAGGGATTGAATTTCCTCGAGATTGCTTTTACTTTGATGAGGGCGCTAACGAGAATGATTGTCTTTCGCCAGTCAGCCATTGGATGGAAGTGCCTTAGTTTATTCGCGCTTCATAATAAAAAGTCTTTTCAAAGCTTCAAAAGGAGGATAAGAGTAAGTTGCTTTGCCCTTCCCTATAGGTATAGGAGGCGTACCCTATAAGTCATTGGGAGAAAGCTTAGTCAAGTAGAGGGCCAGCAAGAAGCCCAATCAAAATTGGATTTTTTAAGTATGTTGCCGGAGAGATATCGATATCAGTAAGGGAAGGAGTTTCTTTTAAGCCAAAAGCAAGCAAAAAAAGGGTTTCCCCAGAGTGAACAGCATACTCAGTTTTTCAGTCCTCTCCTTGCTTGAAGTCGAGTAATTTTTTCCATGAAGTTGTTGTGTAAGCTTAGCTCGAGAAAGAGTACTAAGTACATATAGTTCTATGTTAGTGGAAAGCCATCAAATTGAGTTCCCTTTTTGGCCATGGGAGATCCTGTGCCAGTCCCTTATGCAAGTAGATCTTTTAGGCGAGTAGTAGGGAATCGTTCCCGTCGCCTTTTCTCATCCCAGGGTATCTCGGGGGCTTCAAGATCCATGCAATCCCCCTTCTGTTCTATGAGTTATAACATCCCTGAGTCCGTGGATGTGGTGCTAAGGCCTTTTTCGAGTGGGATCAAGTTTAGAGAGCCAGAACCTGTTGTTGGAGTGATAAGATAATTCCTTCCATCCATTTAAGCAGGAGTTCATAGTGCTATTCCCTCTGCCCTTTCAAGCCAGTGTTCAGTCCTAAGTTATAAGCAGCTAACGAGCTAAAAGGCTGAATACCTTCTGGGTATTAAGTCTGGTTTTTCCTTAGGGAGAGGGACTGTTGAAAAAGGGAAAGTAGATTCTAGGATAAGAAGCAAGCCCCTCTATGCGTAATGCCCTTGGATTTCTTCTAGCTTCAATTGCTAATGCTCTCCTTTTGAATTCTGCCTTATTTAGGGTTTTAGTTGTGGATTGAAATCCAGTGGAAGTTGAAGAAAAAGGGTAAGCCTCTCTCGATGGGAGTGAGTTGCCTTATATCCAGCCTAGTTCCCTTGAAGTCGGAGTAGTGCATAGGGCCATTCCTTTTCCAAGTGAACCAGCCCATATGAGGCAAGCAAGGGAAGGAATAACTATAAGATTCGGAATCGAATTCGTTTTTATTTTAAGCAAGTGTTCGTTTATCCCATAGATTCCGGAATAAAATGAAGAGATGCCGATGCAATTGAATGAAATAATTCGCAGTAATTGATTCACGAAGCCGCTCTTTCAAAGTCACTATATCATAATAGAAGCAAGCTCAAGGCTAGGATGAATTAGCTAACGAATTGACTAGGAGAATGATTCTTGAATAAGGTGAAACTTTTCCTATTGCCCACTCCGCGCTCTCTTTGACCACTACTCACTGATTAGCTGGGAATATTTTTGCTTCTTGCCAGTTAGCTCTCATTAGCTCAAAAGGGAATAAGATCCCAGTCCTGGTAACCAACCTTTAGTCTCATTTCAAAATCCTGGAAACCATTCCTTTCAAACAAGAAAGAGCTGTTGGTGAGAGAACGAAAACAAGGTCTTTCTCGACGACTTGGGATGAGGACTCCGGGAAGCTTCGTTCCTACATTCTGCTCTCAAAGGCATTCCATTTTGTGTATTTGAATTATACAGTTGGCTGGGAAACAATAATAAGAGGCTAAGATCCTCGTTGACAACATGAATTCGTACGCAAGATAACGAATTTGGTCCCTAATTCATAGATGGGAATTTTTGAATCAAAGTAGGAATGGGTCAATGACACTCCCTCCCGATGCTTTGCCAGAAGCTCCTTTCCCAGGTCTTATTGCCGAACTGGTTCTCCCATCTGAGATTGTAATTACAGGTAGAGCCTAAAAAGAGGCAATTTGTTGACCCGTTGACGGACAACTTTCTCATTCGCCGCCGGTTGTTTCGAGAGCTAAGCTAAATCGCTTCTAGTTCTGTAGCTAGAGCTGGGAAAATCCCTCGGCGAGGCATAAAAAATCAGGTCTTCCTCATCTTTGAAGTGGGAATGCTCAAATAGAGAGTCAAAATCAGAATATGTGAAAGCTTGCCCGATTGAATACAAAGTTTAACATCCTGAACGAACAGCTTTCTTAATTCTTAAGCTAGCGCACCAGTTTTCACATTAATGAGACAAGTCTAGTAGAAATAGGACGTCTCTGTCCCTTCACCTGAAACCTACGGCTAGGCAGAAATCCCCGTTTCATTGAGGGAAACTTATTGAAGTATGAAATCGACTTTCAACTCTTTGGAATTATACAAAGGCAGGGCAAACCGGAGCCTAATGTTGATACTATCCATGAGCTGCACGAATTCCCTTTGTGAAAGGCTCAAAATTAGTTAGGCGAGACTTGTCTCAAGATTGAAAAAGTTACTTAGGAGAATTAGGATAAGTTTTTAGGTGGGTACCATGGGAAGAGGGACTCGGATAGGAATAGAGAATAGAAGCTGACAGAAAGCTCTTTGCTTTGGCTTCTTCTTCCTTTATGTTTATGGAGAC